AATAATATTACATTTCGTTCAGATAACGATGACAATCATGCAGAATGTAACAATTGTACACATTGCATATTAATATTAACTAAATATTACCACTACAAACCCTATCTACATGCTAACTAACTACAAACCAATTCAACTAAGACTGCGAAAAATATTTTTAGAAAATAATATTCAACGACTTCAAACTGTCAAACTGAAAATGTAGCAAAAAATACTAATTAAAGTGGTGCAGAAATGATGAGAAAGTTAAAATCAAGAGTGTAAAACGACTCAATTGATCCCCATTTATAAAGTGTTGAAGATTGTTAAGTGTTCATCAGACATCAAATTTTAATGCCAATCTTGTTATTTAACTAAGCCAAAAGCTGAATGGAGCCCTATGAAGATCGTACTAAAATCAACAGCGTCCTGGAAGATCGCTACAATTCGACTGGTTGGTTTCTTGATAGACTCCGATGTAAATCAAATGAATTGAAAGAAATATTTTAAATTCATACGCTGGTACAGCTACACTAGATCGCTGAATTCACTAAATTTTGGCTAATTAGATACCACTTTACAAAAAAACTTTCAATGATGTGCCTCACCAGAACGCACACACGTTATTTGCCATAAATGTTTCATAATTATATGATACAAACTGATCGAAAAACAAAAAAAAAAACGACAGACAATTGTTCAAAAGCGAATTAGAAAATGGAAAAGGTGGTGAAAACGAAAAGGAGAAAAGAGGAACGGAAAAGCACAACGGGCACGAGGAACAGACCTTGATTTACGATACTGTACTGACCTTCGATCGCTGGATGCGATACTTCTACTGCACCACGACGCGAACAGCGAAAACAACGACTGCTTCTTGTTACTTGCCAACAAATTTCGACGTTTTTCTGCTGAAGAGCAAACTTTACCTCACAAAAATCATTTGATTTGAATTCAGTGCACACTATTTGCATCAATAAATTGATCAAAATAAGCGCACTGTTGTCCCAAAAATTCCACATTCATTTCAAATACACTAAATTATGTTAATGGGCAAACAGATCAGGAGGCAGATTGTGTAACGTTATCAGTTCGGATTGGAACTTCGAAATATAACACGCAATCAGCTAATACGGCAACATTAACACACATAATATTAATAGCGAAAATGATAAATTGTTAAGAGACAATCAACGACTAATGTTATTACGTGGTANACACATAATATTAATAGCGAAAATGATAAATTGTTAAGAGACAATCAACGACTAATGTTATTACGTGGTATCGTGTTGATAATCAACGCGACTGTCTTAGCGAAATGCAGTCGAAGATTGGTTAACAGGGCTAAATCGCGATCCTGAAACTTTTATCTTATCTGCTGGCGAAAAAAAGAATATGATATACCGGCATATGACGGGTTGAATACTTATTCATTCAATTATAATAAACAAAATTATAACTGAAAGAATAAAATGATAATAAGTATCGTTTAAAAAGTGACGAAGCATACAAATAATCACCTGATCACACTCCAGATTCTGACGCATCGACTCAATGAAGTCGACCAAAACCTGACAAAGACCGCTTTCGGGATCAATACATCCGCACACGGGTAAGACACCGCGAAACGTAGCAACCTTAACATCTCGTCGATTACTCAACTCCATTTTCGATTAATATTAAAGTGGATTTTTTTCGGTGACCGTCGATGAATCAAATTTCGAGCATCGCTCG